ATAATCAAATACTCAAGTCTCAAAATGGTATGAAAATTACTAAAATTCAATCAACAGGTACTCAAAATTAATCAGAATACATTCAAAAGTAGTCAACTTCTTGTGTGTACACCAGTCTCAACAAGTTGTCTACCCCTAGGTTTGTGGTTGGCATAATTTAGCTAGAGACTCTTAGTCAATTTTGAGATTCACACGTATCATTTATGAAAGCATTTTCCGGGAAAGATTCACAGAAATGTTTAGACACTGCAGAGGTAAATTGGTTTTAAGATTTTTTTGAGGGTATTGTCAAACAGAATACAGATATGTTTAGAATTGTTGAGGGGTATAAAACAATAACATAGGTATTCTTATTAAAAGGCATTGATAAATCTAGGTTGAAAACATCTAGAAGTTTATATTCATCAACAATAATTGACATTTTTGTTATTAAATCTTGATTCTGATTTAATTTGCTGAACATTATTTGCTCTGGAATGGTTTGTTATTGAGATAGGGCATTGAATTTCACAATTTTTTCTTTTCAGATATAGCTGTGATATATATCTGATGTATGCAACCACCATTGCATACATATGTACATGCGCGGTTGAAGCCAGAGCTGACAGAAGCGCTGGACGCTAGAGCTAGTTTTAAATAAACGAGTTGCCTTCTAGATGCTGTCTCAATCACACCACATACCAGTCCCAGAATATATAACATGGCGCAGTCTTGAAAAAAAGAACCACATGTGCCGGTAGTCAGCCATGATGAATTGAGAATCAAAATTTATTAAATGGTAAATGAAGTTATAAAATCTTCAAAATGGATTATAGAAGAGTCCCACCAATGGTTATGACAGGAAATATTTCCGAAAATTGGGAATTTTGGAAACAAAGGTTCTTGACGTACCTTCAAGCCACCGAAATCAGCAAAAAGGAAGATGTAACAAAATGTGCTCAACTATTAACTCTCATAGGAGACGAAGGTATTCGAATATATAATACATTCACTTTTGAAAATGACGAAGTTGACAAATTTGACCCTCTGATCAAGAAATTTGATGATCATTTCAACCCGAAACGAAATCTTGCTTCTGAACGTCATAAATTTCTAACGTGCAGGCAAAAAGAACGTCAAACTATAGACCAGTATATTACGGAATTGAAGAACTTGTCATTAAATTGTGAATTGAATACACTTCGAGAGGGTTTAGTCAAAGACATATTGATATGTGGTATAATATCAGAAATATTGAGAGAAAAATTGTTACAAGAAGATGTAGATTGTTGAAAAAGAATATTCTCAGATAAATTATGAACATACAAAAATGGATATTTTTTTTTTTTTTTCAAGTACTTTTATTCAAAAAATAACAAAAATACATTTTACAATTATTCGAACAAAAGTTGTTTCCTAATCAGCATAAGTGCTGGTCCCGGAACAAAAAATACAAAATATACAATACATATTCAAACTAACAGGTTTAAGGTCACACATACTAAAGTCCATAATAAAATTTCTAAATTACTTACACATGATAACCACTCAAAAATACATCTAAAATCACCCATTTCTCATAAACTATCAATCTTCCTCCTGAACATACATTTTTATTTTCTTTTTAAATTTGTTAAAGTTAGGAATATCTCTAATGTGCTGTGGCAGACTGTTGAATGTTTTTATACATTTGTTCAGTGGGCTGTTTAAAGCTATGCTTGTTCTTGCATTACTAATGTATAAAGTGTTTTGTCTTCTTGTTTCATAATTATGTATGTTGTTCACCATCTCTAACTGCGAATTGCATTTAAAATTATTATTAATTACTTTGTACAAAAATTTGCTTTGCTCACTCTTTAATATTTCTGCTATTTGAAGAAAACCAGTTTCTGTATAAACTACATCTGTTGACGTTCTGAAACTGAAATTGAATAAAACTTTCACTACCTTATTTTGAATCCTCTGTGTTTTATTCATCAATGTTATTCCACAAGTTCCCCAGACTGGTATTAGGTAGCTGAATATTGGTAAGAAATAGGCGTTATAAATTTGTTTCAATATCTTATTATTTAGGTAATCCCTACATCGGTAGAGTGCCCCGATCATTGGTACCACTTTTTTTTCTATATGCTGAACATGTACACTCCAGTTTATGTTTTCATCCAAGAATAATCCCAAATATTTTGTGCTGTTTACTCTATTTATGATTTCGTCTCCTATTCTTATTTGTATATCAACTGAGCTCATATTTTTCTGCCTGAATAGCATAGAGGTAGTTTTTTTCAAATTCATTTGTAGTTTATTTTTTATTAACCATCCATGGTATTTCTCTAAATCATTGTTCACCCTTATTTCAAGTTCTCTGAGATCTGTACTTGTATATACCAGAATTGTATCATCCGCAAAAGTGAAGTATTTTGCGTTTAGCTGTGCTTTTTCTAGACTTCTCACAAGTAGTGTATATAAAAAGGGACCCAAAACCGATCCTTGAGGAACTCCATAATTAGTTTCCTGAGTCTCACTGCATATGTTTCCTAGGCTAACATATTGTTTTCTATTTAGTAAATACGTTGTAAGTAAAGTTAGCAGATTACCTCTGATACCCATGTTTTCCATTTTATTCAAAAGAATTTCATGATTGACTACATCAAATGCTTTCCGCAAATCTATGAAAACTGTCAGCACAAAATATTTTTCATCAAGCTTGGATGAAATGTAATTCACAAAATCTGTCGTAGCACTGAGGGTGCCACTGTTTTCTTGGAACCCATATTGGTACATATCAAATTTTACCTCAATATCAATAAATGTTATGATGCGTTTTTTAATTATTTTCTCAATTAGTTTTGATAAACATGATACCATTGTGATAGGCCTATAGTTGTCAATTACTGTGCTTGAACCTGATTTATGTAATGGAATAACTTTACCAATTTTGAGTATTTCCGGATAGATACCTTGATGAAAGATTTCATTGATTAAGGATACTAATATCGGCATTATGGTCGTTTTCAATGTCAGTATGTCTCTTGTATTGATTTGATCATGTCCTGGCGCTGCATTTTTATTCAAATATATATATATTTATATAAAGCAATACATTGAGAATTCGCATTCTCTATGTGATGAGAATATTTACTCTTTTTCAGTTGATTCAATAGAAAACAACTACTTTCCTGGCTATATGCCACGACGAACATTGAATTATATCTATTGAACACACATGATAAGAGTTTGAAAATAAAATATAAAAACTTCTGAAATTGAGAATTTGCATTCTCCTTCTGCCCACATCATTCTGAATATTCAACAGAAAACAACTACTTTCCTGGCTATTTGTCACGTCGAACATTGAATTATATCTGATGAACATTCAAAAGGAGAACATGAAAAATAAAGAATAAAATCCACGCCCTGTATGATGAATGTCAATTCATCATACACCCAAAAGCAAGATGTAGATTCCTTGCAAAAAGCGATAGACATTTGTATAACTATGGAAAACGCTAGAGATAACAATAAAAAAATCTCCAATGGATATGGAATGCACAGTACCATGGTCAACGTAGATTTTGTGAACAAAAATCATCATTCCAAGCCAAGCAGTCAAAACAGAGCCAGAAAAAGTTTGAGAGGTAGAGATGCAGAGAGAAGACAACCTAAGAGATATAATGCAAAGCCTATGACCAGGAGCTGCAGGAAATGTGGTAACCAACATGATTATGGAAAATGTCCCGCTTTTGGTAAAAAGTGTCAAAAATGTGGTGTTCCCAATCATTTTTCCTCAAATTGTGAAACTAAAAACTTCAATCAGAGTAATAATTACCAAAGTCAAATAATTGAAAATGATGTCATCCATAGTAATAATGATTTTCTTTTCATAGGTAGCATAGAAGATGCTGGAGGAAAGGAAGTGGACAATCTTGATGTGTAGTTTTAATATATCTGACAAAATTTCACCTGAAAGAATTAAGGAAAGCATAGAGCCAGCTGGAACTTCCAAAATAGGAACAGCAATTACCAGAAGTGGTAGATTGATTAAAAGACCAAGTAGATTTGAAGACTTTGCCTCAAATTCAGATAGTGAATAGGGAGAGTATTACAAAATACTTCTCAATAATATTTTGACCAGATATTTTAGTTACAGAAATTTCAGAAGAAATTTTGATCAAATATACAATAATTCATATAAAAATCAAACTCCTATGATGACACTGCAATACACATAATTGCGAGCATAATTGTTCATTCGTTTACAATACTTTCATAACAATTGAAAAAAGGAAAAAATCGAGGAGAAATATACAAAATATTTAACATCTAGTTGGCAATTACATGTTCTGTTTGTTAGGGTTTTGTTATGTAAAATTGTAAACTGTGATCTTGTTATATACATATATTATAAATTGTAAACTTGGTGTTATCTGTGATATATTAGTTATGTAAGTTTGTATGTTGTAATAATTACCTCCCACATAATTGTATTCACTAATAATGGTTAAAAGGGGAGATGTGATATATATCTGATGTATGCAACCACCATTGCATACATATGTACATGCAGGTTGAAGCCAGAGCTGACAGCAGTGCTGGACACTAGAGCTAGTTTTGAATAAACCAGTTGCCTTCTAGATGTTGTCTTGATCACACCACATACCTTTCCCAGAATATATAACAATAGCCCTTATAATTTATATGCATCACTGGACATGCAAGGTTGTATATTTTGAGTAGATATACTGTTGATGAGAAAATCAATGTAATTTTTTTCAGTATGCCACTGACCAGATTTCAATACACTTTTCCATTCTACCATTGAACTATGAATTTCATCCCACTTGATCAATTTTGATGTTTTCTATGGAAAAGCAAATGAAACTATCATCTCCTTGAAACAATACAAAAAACCAAAATAGGTCCTCTAAAGGAGTTCAAGGTTGAAAACTGGGTTAAAAACAGTGATTGGAAAAAAGTTCCCTCTTATTTCACCCAAAATATCTGAATATGGTAATTATACTTACTTTTTGAGTTATATACACTACTTGGACAGTTATCTTTCCATCAACCCATTCATTTTTTGGTTTCATTTGCAGAATTACTTCATCACCTTCCAATGCCCTGTTTCTGTCAAGAACTGATGTTAAATAATAATCAGCTTTACTAGAATCATCATTACTAACATATGAGTCTTGAGAATTCTTAGGATTTATTCTCACAACTCCCTTCACCAAATCACCATCTCTCAGACCTGAAACAGCATTCTCTTGGGAAATATAATCAGGAAATGTTGTTTCTTTGGCTTCAATATCTCTGTTCTCTCTTTTAATTTTTTTTTTAATAGATTCTTGTTTAGGATATTTTCTGGATTCTGCTTTAGAAACAATCTTGTTTTTCTCCTTATCAATCATTGTTAACCCATGAAAATTGTTTAGTAGGTTGTTTAGTACAGTTGTAAAAATACAATGCTCTGTATTAGTATTTTTTGTGAAAGACCTCAGATTAATATGCTTGTATCTATAATTCCTTTTGCGAATCATTTGACAACCAACATGTTTCCTGATTGATTGAATTTCAAAGGTGACCTTTTCATCAACTGAAACACTTTTTTTACTCACAACATCCTTGAGTTTGTTGGAGGAATATGTTGAAGCTTTATCCATAGAATAAGGATGCTTGCTACTAGAAGGAATACAGTAATCCAGGGGCAATTTGTTTCTAACTATTGGTAACCTGAATCTGGGTGAATTTGATTCCACTAAGTCCAAAATTTCATTATTGTCATCTCCAATATTCTTATTCTTGACTCTCTTGCGTATTCGTTTGGGTTTATCTCTTTCTTTGTTTTTCAAAGTACTTTCTGGAACAGTTGGAGAGTTTGATATTATTGATACCTCCCTACTGGCACCTTGTCTGTTTGTTGATGAATTATTATCACATGGAATATCTATACCATTCATACCCATATTTCTGTCATTTATTTTACATAGATCTGAAATTTGGGATTCACTAGGAGTTAAAAATCCTTGTCCACTTGCCATATTCCTCTCGTTTCCACCACTTTTAAAAGCACTTTTAATTTATTTCAGCTCAGCTTTAAAATAATATTCTCGTCATCCACTAGTTGATAGTTTTGAAACTTGAACTACTTGAAGTCAGTCTTGTTCTTCTTCTTCTTCTTCTATGTTTCTTGTTCTTGGCTTTCTGACTCCTTGCCAAAGAGGTCCTTGCAGTGCCAATTTCACCAGATCAGATTTTTTGTGGAATTTTGGTGCCTTGTTCCTGGGTCTGAATTTTTCGTAATAGATTTTCTTGGAAAATGGTAACAGATTTGTATCAAAAAGTAATAGATCCAGAAAATCTGACATTTGACATTCTGAATGTCATTCTTGTCAAATCTTATCACACAAATAAGACAGTTTTGACAGGAATGAAACAGAAGTCACACAGAACTTATGACATGAATTCAGACCATGGACCCATAGAGCAGAACATAATTATCCGCTGAACACAGAAATAGATTTTTCAGTAACAAAACATCATATTTTGGTGCTAACAGCAAATAGTAATACATTCATGACAAATCGTAATATCGTAACAATTTCCGTGAAACAATGCCGTGAAATAGTAATAGATCTACTACAAAAGTAATGACAAGAACAACACTGCTTGAAGTGAAGCTTGAAGCTGAATGTGAATGTTGTTTCAGTGTTGCCGTTTCAGAATTTCAATTTGTACTAGAAGTCATTCCGAAATTGTACTAAATTCAAGTATATTGTACGAAGTTAAGAAAACTAGGGTCCCTTGATGTAAATTGACGTATTTGTCATCTTGACAGGGTACGGACACATCCTCGTCTCCTCTCACTTTGACGTGTTTATGAAACAGTTATATAGTTTCATCTTCATTCAGTTCTATTTGATCATGCGCAGTATCTCACTTTTCCTTATGGATAGTCATTTGTCTTCAAAAATCGGCTTCATGTTTCGCTATGGAAACAGATAGAGATTATCCGTATTGATTATTAATACGTAGTCACGGAATGACAGCTATTTGTTAGGGTACAGCAACCATTTTGAATTTGATTTTGACAGCATTCCGAAATACGTAATTGACGTCACAGAACTTTGAGTACTGTAGTTGACGTTCTAAATGTGTATGGAATATGAAATGTACTAGAAAAGTCTGGCAACTCTGCGTTGATTGAGGCAATGACGGCTAAATATCTAGACTGTCTGATGGTAGATATTCAGAAGCTGTGTGAAAATCAAATGGCAACCACAATGAACTCAATATAAACAACGCCAAAGATAGCAGCCAGAATCTCCGAACATTGCCGAAGACCCAAAAATAGCAAAAAAAAACGAACATTGCGGAAGGCCCAGTGACGGACGAAATGTATTTCATTCAAGCCTCCAAATACCAAAATAGTTATTTTTGTATCTAGAGCGCGAAATGCTACTTTGGTGATCGAGATCTGATTTTTTTAACGAGGCGTAGCCGAGTTAAAAAAATAGTCGAGATGACCAAAGTATTTCGCGCTCGAGTTGCAAACAAAATTTTTTCTACAAACGTCAAAAAATATAGTTCTAAAGTAAAAATATGCCAGATATAAAAAATAGTGTTGAACTGGCTTTAAAGGCCTCCCCCTATCCTCCCTAGGTACGCACGATGTTCCACGAACATAATACGAATTTCCTTTCGTGCGCTCAAGAGGTAAAACAAAGTTATTGTTGAACATTCAGAAATAAATGATTTCATGGATGTTTGCTCGATTGAGGACCATATAGTTGAAATATAAATATCTCATTAATTTTACATTACAATGCGCGAAGTATAGGTACTTCGCGCACTGTTTTACTTCGCGCATTGTTATGTGCAGGGTATCATGGTAACGTAGGAAACTGAAAAAAAGTGTCACTTCGCAGTTTGTTATCAATGCGCGAACCTTGTCATTTTTTGACGTTTGTAGAAAAAAAATTTTTAGGGTATTATATACAGAACTGTTCCGATGAGAAAGGAGTATACAGGGTGCCATTTTTTGAGCTCAGTTATTATAAGAGATATACGAGGTCGGTTGAAGCAGGGCAAAGTTGTTCATTTTCATGTTGAACAATTATCTGCAAGAACATTTTTGATGTGTCATTTTATCTCTCCGAGTTATTGGAAGAAAACCAAAATTGGTGATCTCCGTTTTTATTTTTTCAAGCAAAAACTGAAGGACTGGGACATCTCAGGGCAGTCTTTCACAAGTAGTCACTGAACTCTGTTTTTTATATGGCCGCCATATTGGATTTTTACATTTTTGGAAGCCTTGTTTTTGGATGGCTTTTTTGTCCCTGATGACGATGCGAAGAGTGCTTTGGAAGGAATAATAACATGTTCTGTTAACAAACTGAATTTCGTCATTTTAATTGAATTTGGATCTGGACATGGAGGCTTTTATGCATCAGGAATGGACCAGTCCACAAAATGCACATTCGGAGATAACTCAATTTGAAGTTATAACTGAGATGTTATAACTATATAATAATTTCTGATGATAAGTAACTTGAACTTTCGCTGATGATATCTATAAGAAAGAACTGCGTTGATTTATATATGTCATATTATGAAATTAGTTCCTTTCACATTTGGGGAGATATTATGGTAAATGTGGCTTGGATCATTTCTGTTATATTACTATTTTGAAAGAACTGATATTTGCAGGAAAATGTCATGTATTTTATTGTTTATTCAAGAACTTCATTTTCCTCAACAGATACCTACACAAAAAGCATCAACAACTGAATGCTGCTCAATACTATGATTTTATAGCTATACCTACTGGGAAAAAACCGAAAACAATTTTTTTCTACAATTTTTTAAAACTTCAGAACTTACAAAAACTGAAAAATATCATCAAAGTATTACACATGTTAAACTATAACTCTTCTTCATTCATGAATTCAAAATCCAGTGGACCATTGAAGCCATCATAATATCTTCCCCAGTATCTTGTTCTGCAGGAATTAACTTTTTGTAAAAATTGTTGATTGCTTGTTGGGGTATGAAAGGGTATAATGCCTTCAAATCTTTGATTTTTTTTAGGGTTGATGGGTTCTCCTTCTGGCCAAAGGCTGATTAAATCAGATACTTGGATAGACTCGGGACCTCTCACATTTCTTTTTTTTATATTTACCTCCACTCTACATTCTTCATTGAAAGTAGGGTTCATACTGATTATATTGGGTTTATCTCTCTCCAGCAAAATCTCCCTTGTCTTCAACCAATTCACTGGGGTTTTATCACATGATATTTTTCTATTAGTAACTTTGCTTTCCATAGCCGCAGTGCCTAAAAATACTTCTTTCTGCATCAATGAAATCCTCAAAGGCCTCTTTATTCTTGCTTTTTTCATTATATCTGCATACTCTTCAACTGTATATATTCGTTCTTGTTTCTTGATTTTTGACTCAATTTTCCCAAAATCGTCATCATTTGGCAAATATGTATGTCCTGGAATCAAAAACCTCAAGAAAATTCGCTTCAGGTTTGGCAGGATGCTGAAGAATGTTTTGCACACATAAGAACTATCTTTATATATGTTCCGATTTTGTACGTCCCCCACAAGAGTCACTCCAAAATATGACTTCCTCTATATCTCTAGAAACTCTTTCAGTTAAATGTTTTTTTAGGCAGGAACCGACTTCCTGTGATCCCCTGCCAGCAGTCCCTTCTATCCATAAGTAACAGTACCCTTGATTCTCTTTTCCAGAGTGAATACCACAATTATATACCCAGAGCTATACAATTATATACCCAGAGCTGTCTTTTATAATATATCAGACCAATCAATAATAATATTGCTATTACCTAGGTACTTCTTAAATCATCAATAAGAGTTTCAGTATCTGAATTATTATTCTTTGCTGGAACACAGGAAGTTGCCTTGAAAATCTTGTCTTTTGAAGAAGAGGGCAAATCTGAAAAAGAATATTGATATTTGGATGTACATAGTATTACTATACTACCTACTATGCTACTACTACAGACTACTACTTACTATACCTACCTAATATACTTACCAACACTTTGGTGCTCAACATTTTCTAATTGTTGTTTTTTGAGAAGTTCCTGAATTATTCTCCTTGACCTATATGAACTATACATTGTATTATTATTTGTTGTTCAAACTTCAGATTACTGAGACTGAGAAATGATTTGACCATTGTCTGCTAAATATGGAGCAAAAATCTAGTGAGCTGGAGTATCTGGTCTGCCCAAACAGGGGAAATCACCTACAGCGTTCTGTGGCCGATACAGTAGTACCGCCATACGGTCAACTCGAGGAAACACTCAGTTCAATTGTTTTCCTGTCAAACCTACATAACCTTAAAATTCGTTAATTAGGTATTTCGGAATGCTGTCAAAATCAGATTCAAGATGGTTGCTGTACCCAAACAAATAGCTGTCATTCCGTGACTTTTTTAACCATATTTTCAATTGAATTTAAAATGTGTTAAATGCTGCTTTCTTCGCTTCTTGAGTTGATAATTGAACTTTATATACTTAGTTTTATTAGGATTGCATCATCTTTATGAAAATTATTGAATAGTTGATGTGTATTCCTGTGGTGTATTCTGGACACTATCTGGATAGGTTTTGCTTGGTGTTTGTGTTATAACAATGTTTTATTGTGGAATAATCAATTGTAAGAGTCGGTAATATCGTGATAGCATGAGTTTTCATCGAATCCTGAGTGTCTTGAAATTTAGACATAAATTGGAACAATGATCGAATTATCAAAAGAAGAGACAAGTGGATAAATAGAAATGGTTTGATGGAGCAGAAACTCAAAATGTTGAGAGTTTGTATTTCCTACCTACTTGGTGAGTTCACTGAAACAGGTAATGATTAATGAATAGTAGTAAATATAATAGGTATAATGGAAATTTTAGGGAAACCTGCATATCTATCAGATGTTAATAATCCTAACTGGGCTCCCAGTTTATTTTTGACCACCAATCTAAGGAAACTATCAATGATATGGAAACATCAG